GTATACCTAAACGTACCTATGAATCATTAGGAAATTAACAGATACCTACGACAAATGATAAATCGTTTGTGCATATAGCTCTCTAAACATTTGGATTAATATCGATTCTTTACATTACTTGTATGGATGGTTATAGTCAGTCTAGTACCTATAGTATGGATAGTTTCTGTCAAAAATTTATATAGATCCAAAGATTTGGATTGGTGATTCATTTCACTTGTTAATAAATCTTGTATACTTGACATCCCTACTCAATAGCACTCTGCCAACATGAACCGGACGAACAACTTTCGCGACTCGTCCCCATAATGTTGTGGATTCGTGAACTGTTACGTCACTGTCATCTGCCCGCTTATTTTTAATATTTTTTATTAGTTCGCCAATAACAATAAAATTATGTAAGTGATAATTTCGCACCATATTGTGCGCTTTAGTTCCGCTGCAACTGTTGTTTACTTTAAACCTTGTAAGATATTGAAGTGGGCCGAAAGTGTGCCTAAAGTTTATATTTGGTTCATCTAGTTGCGAAATATCCATGTGATACATTCGCACGGAATTTATAGGTCGAGAGTTGTTAACAGTTGTAGCTTCGTTCTTATTGATTCTCTAACAGAACTTCTTAGGTTCTTAATGGTTTGAGCTAAGGGAAAGTTATAAGCACTTTGAAAACATAAGAAAGTGAGTCTTTCCGTGAAAGAAGAAAGTCAACACCACAGGTTATATTATTTACTTAATTTTGTGTTAGTCAGATAAGGATAAAACGCTAAGGACATGGAATGAGGACAGTAAGCCGGTACAAAATGAATCACACACAATTTTACATTATAAACACGACTTTATTGTAAGGATTATTAGTATTAAATTCCTTTTTATAATAATGTTAAAAAGAAATCATGACTTTACCTATATACACATTGGAGGGAAAAATTGATCAACTGTGATATACACTTGTTTCTTGATGCATAAAGTGAAGTTCAGATTGTTCGCAGTTTTATTGTTTTGGCTGCTGGCGATAAAATAAATATCGCATCTAACATCCACGTGGCAATAAATACACGACACGTGTAGTTATACACACCATGCAGTCGTTTTTAATCATAGCACATTGCATAATATTTGTTCTGTCTGAATCATAAAGCTGCTGAATGAATTACTAACTGTACACAATATGACTTTGACTGCCGTTGGCTGAGTGGTTGCAAGTAGAGGTACTATTGATAACGTAACTTCTGTTTTGATTCACGGACTAGGCAATGCGATTGTTGCTACTTGGAAATTTCTACAAAATCATGGGTGGATGGTGGCTTGTGCTTGGCAACAGGTTTATCTCCTTGGACAATAAGCAAGGGAACTAATACGATAAATGGTAAATTAAAATACTGAGCTTTTGATAATGTCTGAAGATAAGGATGACAGTTGGTGAAAAATCTACACAATAAGGAAAACACTTTGTTAAGAAAGTGAAAATGTTAACGAAGAACTGAACAGTTGAAACGAAAGATTTGATACAATGTACAAGTGCAAACTATATTAAATTTGAAATGAATGTAGTCGGACAATCGGCAATTTAGATTATACCAAAGTGGTTAGATATTCTCGGAAAACCGAGGTTTTAGTGACCAGCAGTTGGGACCTTAGCTACAATAGTAATAAACGACGTGGGAATTATTACGTAAATGGTTTGCTATTTAATTGAAACGCGGAGAGTTTCCTTGAATCACTATCTTGATTAGAAGGTAAGGTTAAGAAGCATCCGATTTTGTACAGTCTGTTTATTTTTTTATTATTTGAAAAAATGCGGAATGAATTTGAACCTTCGGAGGAACCTTGAGGGAATGCATTTACATTTTTTAGTTTTATGATGCAAGAGAACAACGTAGGTACAACCTAATCAGAAATAGTTCGTTTACGATCCAACTTTATGATGTACACTTGCAAAACTTCTATTGCCGTTCAGCGATAAAGTTTTATAATTTTATATGCGAACACAACGCTTTTGAACCGATTTATATTTTAATACAAATGCGACTACACATTGTTTTGCGCCACGAAACGTAGTTATTTTTACATTTACTTATTTTTGTAAAAATTCATCTTTGTTTTCCATTTCAATACTTGAAAGCTATTTTTACATCTAGTAATTGACATTTAATGAAATTATAAGACCTGTAGTCGAGATTTAATTAAGTTCCAATGCGTTGCAAGTCTCCATAGACATGTGTATGTGTCTTCAAAGTCTCTAAATCAGTCTTACTAATCATTATATTAGACTAATCTTCCCCATTAAGACTTGAATCTTTATCATACTGCCATGTGTGAGTACCGATAGTACCGACGTGTCTAAGAATGAAGTAGTAGATTCATAAATTATTGGATAACTCAAATACACATGTTTACTCATAAATGCTCATAACTCTGCGATAAATCTCATTATGAAATTGTTTGTACAGCTTGTTCATCTATGTGTGTGGTAAACGGCGTACAATTACCACATTTGTTTATACTTAAAAACTAAGTGATTAATTGTATTCAATTGTATCGCTCGGCTATTGCGTATCTTATATTTTGTGGCCGTTGAAAATTAAGACATTTCCATATAGTTACTCTACCTCTAGTTAATCGCCAACCCGCATTGAGCAAGCGTGGTGATTAATGCTCAAACCTTGCCGAGTGAGAAGAGGCTTGGCTCAGCTGTGGGCATTTATAGGCTGCTGATGATGATGATTGACGACTCTAGCTAATAGTATGGGCAGAGTTTAATAATATATTTGCTACTACCGCTTCACTTTCTGCGGGTGTCGTGAAAACCAATGAAGGACTACATGTAACAGAAACTTGTCATTTAAACTGCAATCCCTAAGCAGCTTGTCAACAATTGTTCTACATTACATTATAAGGTTAATCATTCCTGAGATATCGAGGTGAACTCAAGCCTCGGTTTGTTAAAGTTCAAATGTTATGTGAAACTCAGTATAGGGTAATGTCTGACTGACCTTTGAAGACAGTCATTGCAGTTTCGAATTGACCTGACCCGGAACAATTGTAAATTCAAAAAACAACTTTATGTTATTTGCGCATATGATTTAAATTTCTTGATGTTAATATTATTTGGTATATTGAAATCTTAAGCTAACATAAGAAGCAATTTTTATTGAGTAATTTTGTAAATATCGTCACTATGTAGTGAATTTAGTTCATCCAGATTGGAAAATATGAAAATATGCATATTTAAAGAGACATCTCAGTTTAATTTTAAGTTTTATTCAATATATATGTATATAACACACTATGTATTCTACACAAGTGAAGTTGTTAGCAAAAAAGTTAGGTATATTCATATGTGGAAATAATCGCAAACCAAGACTGACCATATAATACATGTTAGACACGGTCCTCGGTTAAGCAACCGTGATAAATTTACAGACGGATTTAAAACACGTAATGTATTTTAAAGGCTTCATTAGTTACTATAAATAGCTCTCATTGGTAACAATCCTCTCTCTATGTCAATAAATAGATAGTTAGAGTTTGTTTGGACCTCGTTTCTCTCAAAGAAGAATGATAGTTTAAGGATTATTCAATGTCTAGAAGAGAAAGAATGTCTTGTGTTATCTCAAATAACTGTGCCTAAATGCATTAGTCGCACTCACAGCTCGAGCTTAGCCTCGACAATACCTTTGTTGTTTCGTCAGTTTCAAGTGTCATAGAATTTACTCCTAGCATGTGCGACAAGGACAATGGGATTCAATAGGGTAGATGCTTAATTTTAAATAAAATTTCGTCTGGTAGATTATTTTATATCATTAGACACGTATTTTTTATTTTTTTTCTAACGAATACTTTCGACGATAATTATATTGATTTGAAATGTCGCGTGACATCATTTCTACATACCTATGTACATTTTAGGTATACGTAGAAATGACGTTTTAGCCCCCACTCCTAAACTTTGACTCGTTTTATCTAAGTATTGTTTTTATTGTACGAGAAAATGAAAAAAATACCTGTCTAGTATTTTTTCATTACCTTACTTATGGACTAACTAGATTTTAAATTTTCGTAGCCTGTCATCATCCCAATTCTTTAGAGTATGATTGTGTGAAACTACTTTAAGAAATATTATCATATTTTTGAAAGTTTAAAAGACAGCGAATATGGAACTTTGACTTGGATATAATTTGATTTCATTGAAAACTCTAACATTTAGAACTTACACCCTAACAAGTTAACGAACCAAAACAAATGCACACAACTAATCATTAAAAATAAAAACTATATGCACGGCCAATGCATACTAATCAATCAATATTTTCTGCTCATAATCGATCCATTGAATTTTTTTAATGCGCAAAAGATTTGGAACTCTTTAGTTACAATCGCATTGTATAACAATAAGTTTATGATTAACATTAAGTCTATAAGAGACTCTTACTATTGTGATACAGCATGTTACTTTTACACAGCGAGGTCGTAAAATATTTTGGGGCGATGCAAATATGTTTGTGTCCTTTTTTGGTTGCTTGACGTTGAAAAGTTGAACATAGTGTTTGAATTAGACATCAGGATAGACCACCATGTCATCACATTAATTTGAAATTTGACACTTGGTGTTTTGTATTCGCTTCTATTTTATTCAACCATTCTTACTGGGTACGTTAATACAGAAAACGATTTAGGCTTTATGAATATGTATTATTTATTTATTGGTTCTCTTGACAAACTAGTTTCCACAATCATGTTGTCAATCACGGAAGTATTTAGGTCATATTGAAAGTGACAGATTCGGAATTACTAGAAACACAGAATTCGACAGGCGGTGTTCCAGGCAACCTTGCCCCAGGGCCGGCGACAATCGGCATCTCGTTATAGCCGCGCGCCATGCGTGGGCGCGCAATCTTTCTCTGCTCACGCGATTTGCTCAAAACACTCCACTCATGCGCAGACGCGGATCGGTTTTCACCGCCCTTTTCTCGTTTTTTATTCGTTCCCATGTGCTATGTGACTGTGTGGCTGTGTAGTGTGCAGTGATGAGGATCTTCCAGTTCTGTCTAGTGTTAATGTTTAGGTTCGTATTCAACTTCAAATATTCGTGAAACTGCTTATCGCTGATTTAGTTACGGTGTAAAACTCACTATACATTGCCTTGTTAAAATATCGCATTAGAAAGTGCTCTGCGATGCTTATTTATAATAGTTTGATCATTGTGTTTATCAACTGACAGATTATTATGTCAAAACGTCGCGTTGCCTCGTCGTGTGAGCAAATAATAATAAACAAGACAATGTTATGTGTCAGGCGGATGTATCCATCTTTATGATCAACTTATCTCGTAAACTAACATTTGTTTTTTGTTAAATTGTACTAGTTTTTTTAATGTACGACAAATACTTGTACTTGTGAGTGAAGTACTAATATTTGAGAACGTGTTCCTAATTCATGATTTTGGTAAACAAATGTGGCTAGCTAATATTATACAAGGAAGGTAAATAGCGGGGGATACCGGTATTTTAAAAACTGTTCTAGAACCAGTTCGTTAAAATAACTGTTCCTCCGAGTATAGATGTTGCAGATGCTGATTAATGCATAATTCTTGTAATGTTACGAGATTGCAGTGACGTAGCGTGTCAAACCTGTCTCTGACCTTGCAAACTACGGCGTGGAACCGGTATTATTACATTACTTTACGCTAAATGAGCTATGTGATATGTTGCTTGCAATATGAGCGTTATTTAGATCATATCTACATATACCTCGAACTAAGAAAATATTCAGAAAAACGCTTCCATAGTCTTTTCCTTTATAATTTATTTTTGTTATTTTTCCAGCCCGTGTAAAATACACATAAGAGGTAATGTAAAACATCGCTATTGTTGAAATGAAATAATATAAAAGAGTTGTTAAGTAGTTATCTTGACAACAAAATGTTAACGTAATAATTAAAATTCTCCGGATTTGTCAGTTAATTAGTACCGACAAATCAAACGACCAAGGCAATGCTTGTGCGGTCCCTCATCTTTCCCATAATCGACTATGGTGACGTGTGCTATTTCGTTCTCGGCTCGGACCTGCTCAACAAGCTTGATCGTCTTATCAACAACTGCATTAGATTTGTCTTTAACTTGCGCAAATACGATCATGTTTCTGGGCATAGGTCTGAGTTGAAATGGATGCCCATCCGGCAGAGAAGGGCTCTCCGTGTTTTGACAACCCTTTTCTCAATCCTTCATTCTCCCACTCCCCCTTCGTATCTGACTCCTTATTTTCAATACCGTTACTTGGGACACTCTAAAAATCTTCGTTCTTCTCACAATCTTCTTCTTCACTGTCCTTCTCACAGTTCCGATACTGTCCACTCATCATTTCACATCCAATCTATTCTTCTGTGGAATAGGCTACCCTTGGAAGTCAGGAAGTCCTCCAGTAAGCAGGCGTTCAAGGTTGGAGTTCGTAAGTGGATTTCGGGTGGAAAGTTGGTAGAGTCTTCATAACCTATCTCTTTTATGTTTGAATATTTGATTGCACATATATATACATATATACTTATTTATTTATATATATATATATATATTGATCTTTATTAATAAAATATTTATATTTACCATAGACCGTTGTATGTATACTGTCATTTTAAAAATTATATTAGATATAGTTGTCAACTTATTGCACCGACCACGCTCTCACTGCATCACCTAAAGGTTGGCTAGTAAGAATGCCCATGGCATTAAGCCCGCCTATGTACTTTTGTTGCATAAAGTTAAATAAATAAATAAATTACTTAGGTCCTTTTGGTCCTGGCTACACGTAGGTTAAAAATCGACAGACCCCAAAAGATCGGTTCAATGGCTGTTATAGTATTTTGAAAAGTTCCCAAAGAAATCTCAGCGCGGCTAGAGCGCTGCTGTAGCGCGTATATCCACAGCTGTATATTTTTGGGATTTTCTGACTATAATTCCGCCTATTTGGCGTCCTCAAAAAAAATAACAGCGACGTTGCCAGTTCGCTCATTAAATCTGTCTCAATAGATCATAATATTATCTACCGCATTCGAAACAATATTCACCGTCGTAGATTCGGATGTGTTGCGTATTATTTGGAGTCCGATTTTATTCAATTAGATTTATTTACATTTTAATACATGTCAGTGCAACTTACGACAACTTATCTGCAATCCTGTTCTCAATTTGTCAATGAGTACCTATCACTGATATATAACAGATGAGGGTATAAATTAACTACTTAATGGGATCTTAGAAATAAGTACTAAAGTGACAAAATTATATGTCTTACCACAAAAAATGGTTAACCAGAGTATAACTCGTATAGTATAGTTTCCGTATGAATTTTGACGTAATTTTATTTACTTTATCTATTTTTGTGGTTAGAAGGTGCATAGGTAACACTGAATAATTAATGAATGTTGTATAGTATTACTGATAAAACCAATCAACGTTTGTCTTTTTATTATTTTCCTCGGCGTGTTATAAAGATTCAATTAGGAATTATAAATGTTTTTGATTATAAAACATAAACACTTGAATAAAAGTGATATCCATATTAAACATAACATCACGCCTTTTATCCCCGAAGGGGTAAGCAGAGGTGCACATTAAGGCACTTAATGCCACTGTACAATGTAATATACACTTTTCACTATTTATGAGATAATTAAAACATTCTAGTAATAAGATATATTCTTATTATCTTATTTACTTATTACGGACGCACAATAGCTATACGTGGACGTTCAATAGCTATATACGGACGCCCAATAGCTATATACGGACGTTCAATAGCTATATACGGACGCCCAATAGCTATATACGGACGTTCGACAGCAATATACTGACGTTCAACAGCTAGGTGATCTTAC